CCCCTGGAAGGCGGGGATTACCTGCCGTTTGAGACCCACCCACGGCGGCCGGAACCCCACCCTGGTCCAGCTGGACCAGTAGGGGAACCCCGGCTTGTTGCCCGACGGTGAGGGCCCGCCCCCGCCCCCCCCCCCCTCCCGGGGGCAGATCTGTGCTCGTTGGAGACGGGCGGGTCTGGCCGGCCTCTGGCCCTGGGCCCGTCGTCTCCACTCTCCAGACCCAAGGCGCCCACCGCCCTCAGGAGGGAGGTCCCCCTCGTGTGTTCACCGTCTGCACCCCTGCCCCTGCCCAGGTGCTGTGTGCTCCGACCTCCCTTACGCCTCCTGGTTCGAGTCCTTCTGCCAGTTTACTCAGTACCGTTGCTCCAACCATGTCTACTACGCCAAGGTGAGTCCCAGGACAAAGATGGATCTGGTGGCGCAGGACAAAGGGAGGGGCAGTGGCAGTAAGGAGCTGAGGAGGGCCATCCGTAGGGCTTTCTTCCCTGCCACTTGGCCAATCATTTACCCAGATTATGTATGAATGCAGACTCCCTTTGGCCATTCAGACGGTCAGAACACTCCTGATAACTGTAAGAAAAGGAGGGGAGAGGCAAAAAGATAAGCCCTTCCATTTCTTCTAACAGTGAGTCACTCGAATCAAACATTAAAGACCAAAGGCAGGGTTGTGTCCAAGACATGGAGTTTTATCTTGCAGGGGAACCCTTTCTCAGGTCTAGAGGGTTCCACCAGGGACCCTGTGCCTTTGTCCCTGCCCAGGAGCTGTGAGCGAGGCAGCTGGGAGAGGGACTGAGGAGTAAGTTGGGGTAAGGCATTCCTTTGGGAAAGGCATTCCCACATCCCTTCTCTCTTTGCAGAGGGTCCGATGCTCCCAGCCAGTCCCAATTCTCTCACCTAACGCTGACCAGGAGACAGACTCTTCTACTGAAGCACAGCCCTCCACCATGACCTCCCCCATGCCATCCCACAACACAGGTGAGACCCTCCCAACCGAGGAGACTGGATGGTAGGGATACCGAAAGAATGTTGAGCAACGGTGGGTGATGGACACAGGCAGCTCTTTACATAATGGGGAATCTGCTTTTTAGGAATACAAGTTAGAGCTGTCCTGTCCCAGAATATCTTCTGGCATTACTTCCAAGGCTGCCCTGACTCCATTTTTCCTAGCTCCCCAAAACATCCCCGGGACTTTTGTAAGCTAACATCTTCAGTCTAGAAAGGATTAGCTGCCAACTATTCAGAATATGTGCTAGTTCCTAAGTGAGAGAAACAACAGGTGGAGTTTGAGGTGGCAGTTAAGAGGGGCACTGGTAGGGAGGTGGAAAGGTGGCATACCACCAACTCCACCATCGCCATGGTAATGCTATTTTGATATTTGTATTCTTTTCTGTGTCATCTATACCTGACCGTGTGAATAATTTGGATTGAGGCTGCTTCCTTCTGCCTTGGTGTTTATGTGTGTGTCTGGCTGAACAAAAACATTCAGAGGCCAAAAAGCTGACTGTTCCTCTCCTTCTCTTTCCCAAACCCTGCTGCAGCCACAGAACGGCAGGCCTTCCAGCCCTGGCCCGAACTGCTCAAGAACAATGTGGAGGAGCTGCAGGAGCTGCTGCAAGCCTCCATGTCCCTGGGAGGCCCAGAGCGAGTGTCAGGCCACAAGCAGGGTCAAAGGCAGGAGCAACAACAGGAGCAAGGACAAAAACATAAACAGGAGGGAGAGCAGGAGCAGGAGAAACAGGAGGAGGAGGAGGAGGAAGAGGAGGAAGAGGAGGAGGAGGAAGAGGAGGAGGAGGAGGAGGAAGAGGAGGGGGAGGGGAAGCAGGAGGAAGGACAGGGGACAAGGGAGAGACTGCATGCCATGTATGGGCTGCAGACAGACTCAGAGCCCAAGCACCAGGCTGGTTTATCTTCCAACCCTTTGTCCTTCGCTGCCCGGGTGCGGAAAGTGAAGTCTACGCCTATGATGGTGGAGAACATCCAGGAGCTCAGTCAATCTGCCCAGGAAATGGATGAAATGAGTGGGGTGTTTGATGAAGACTCTGCTTGGAGAAGCCAAAACTCTGGCAGGTACAGGAAATTCTGACTCCTGTACCTTTCCTGCTGCCTTTCCTCCTACCTTTCCTGCTGCCTTCTTTGGGAATGAGAAGCCCACTTTCCAACTTTGACCTCCAGACCCACTCAGACCTGCTTGGGCTTCAGGAGCACCTAGTAACTGCCTGCCTCACCTGTTCTGTGGCCATCATTGGTTTAAGTCCTGCCTTAGATGGCTGTTTCCTTAAACCTGGAGCTACCAGGCTTGAGTTCCGGTCTTGTTTATGGCCTTGATAAACACTGCAATTTTGAGGAAGTTACTTCCCCTTTCTGGACCTCAGTTCCTCATTTTTAAAAGGAGGCAGTTGGTCCAGAGGCCTCTAAGGCCCCATCCAGCATGCTGAATGTGTGTGACCAAGAACAGAGTCTGAGGGAAAGGAAAGAGAAAGGATGTAGCTTTCTTCCCCACCAACCAGGTCTGTCTCCTTGCAGCCTCTTGCAGCTGCCCCATGAGGAGGCCTTACTGGTGATGTGCTATTCCATTGTGGAGAACACCTGCATCATGACCCCCACAGCCAGGGCCTGGCGGCACTTGGAGGATGAGATCCTTGGTTTCGGGAAGTCGGTAGGCCCAGCATGCTGTTTAATGGATACTTGCTCACTGGGCATCCTCTGGGCCTGGCACTATTAGGCCTTGGGAGTGGGGGGATGGGCAGGGATACAGACAGCATGAGGCATCACTGGAGAGGTCCTCTTCAAGTGGGAATCCCTTCTTTGGAAGGACATCTCCAGCTCACCTTAAAGGAGGAAGGCTCAAGACTAGTCTGGAATCCATTCCAATTCAGGAATTCATTCTTTTTTTAAAAATATATTTTTATTGATTTCAGAGAGAAGGGAGAGCGAGAGAGAGATTGAAATATCATGATGCGAGAATCATTGATCAGCTGCTCCTGCAGGCCCCTACTGGGGACCGAGCCCACAACCCAGGCATGTGCCCTTGACCAGAATCAAACCAGGGACCCTTCAGTCTGCAGGCCGACGCTCTGTCCACTGAGCCAAACCGGCTAGAGCCAGAATTCATTCTTCAGCTCTCTGAGTTGTTAGGCTTGAATCATCTCCTGATCTAGTTCACCATCTTCAAACCTTGGCTTAACTTAGATGCAGCTCTCCTTTCCAAAGCGGGCATAGAACCCATTCCAGAGATCTGTAGAGAAATTCCAGTCTTGATGTGTCCTCACCACCCAGCAAGTCCTATTCCCAGGAAAATATCCTTTAGGTTTTTAAATAACACAAGTTAGCAAACATCTGTTGGGAGTTGGTATGCCATTTATTCATCCATTTGTTCATCAAATATTGATTGGTCACCAACTCTGAACAGGTTTTTGAGATATTAACGATGAGCACAATATATCTAATTATCGTGGGGGCTCTTGAAGTCCTAGTGGGAGAGGCAGATAAGGAAACAGGCAGAAGAGTGTGACAGGAGAAACGCTGTGATGGATAAATACAAAGTGTAGAGAGCGGAAGGGGACAGCCATCTGTGTTTGGGAGGATCAGAAAATGCTGCTTAGAGGAACTGACATTTACACTGAAACCTGGAGAGAAAGGAAGTTAACCTGGCCAAAAAAAGGACTTGGTAGAAGCTTCCTGCTAGAGGGAATAGCATGTGCAAAATCTGTGAGGCAAGAAAGAGATTTCATGAGGGACAGACCAAGAATGAACATATTACTCCTGCCCTTAAAGTAGCTGGAGCCCACGGGGGACTCGGCAGCATTACAAAAGGAGTATGGTAGGTGTTGGAGAGAGGTTTTTAAGTGTAGGAAGTTCAGGAGTCATGGAGAGCCCACTGGATTTTAGGGCTTGGGTAGGGGAACAGTAAGGAGCCCATTTTGCCTGGAGCAAAGCAGTAAGGGATAGAGTCAGAGAAATAGTAAGGGTCACAATGTGAAAAATCCCAGGTGGCAGTCTGGAGCATTTGTATTTAATTGGGTAGGAAAAAGGAACTTAGTAACTAACCATTTTTGGTGAGAGACGTGACTATGCCTCCCTTATGAGCTGTTGTGCGGAGTGAACAAGGAGATGTTTTGCACCTGTGGTGTGCTGGACCCATGGGTGGAGAAGGAGGAGGCTGGGATTGACTGCAGATTTCTTGAGGAGACTGAGGGACTCAGTTAGGGCAAAGAACCTAGCTAGGAGATGGGGAGCTCCACTCTAAAGAATGTCTTCCAGGAAGTTGGAGGTTTAAACCTAAGTAGAGTATAGGTTTTGAAGTTAGAAGGACTAGATCTATATCTCAACTCCACCATTTATAAGGCATATGGTTTCGAGCAAGTTAGCCTCACTGAGCTTGTTTCCTTGTCAGTCAAATGGAGATATTATGAGGGCTAATGTGCAGGGCTCCTGTGAGGACTAAATGAGATGATAGCATTTATATCCACGGTGCTTAGCCCTGGGTCAACTATTAGCACTATCATTAGGAAAGAGAGAGAAAAGGGGAAAGTTAGGAGATCTATTCAGATAGTCTAGGGGAGAGGTGGTTGTAGGTCACCCGAGGGTGGGCAGCTGTCAGGCACCTGGCAAGTGAGGATGTGGAGCTTGGGAAAGAGATCAGAACGGATGATGAAGATCTGGGTGTCCCTTGCAGAGAGATGAAGATTACCTGGGAGTAGAGAAATCATCCAGGAAGAGGGTGAAGAAATAGAGTGCTGAGGCGAGGTCCTTGAGGAACCCTTGGGGAGGGGGGCAGGGAGAAAAGCTTTTGGAAGAGCCTGGATGCAAAGACATTGTGGGAACTGCTCTGGAGGGCCGAGGTGTGGGACAGTCTCAGCCTCAGCCTCTTAACTACATTCCTGCCTTAGGTCTGTGACAGCCTTGGGCGGCACCACCTAGCTATCTGTCCCCTCTGTGCCTTCTGCTCCCTGAAGCTGGAGCAGTGCCACTCGGAGTCCAACCTGCAGCGGCAGAAGTGTGACAGTTCCCACAAAACACCCTTCATGAGCCCCTTTCTCTCATCCCAGAGCATGGCCATCGGCATCCAGGTACCTAGCCAGCTGGGCAGCCTCAGTGGGGGAGGCCTCAGGCTCTGGACCTCTATCCGGAAGGGAGACCTGCAGGGGGCGCAGGGGTTCACACCTCTCCCCTGTCCCCTCTGCTACAGATGGGGAATGTAAAATCGAACCGCTATTACGGGCTGGATATTTATGGTGGGCTTCGCATGGATTTCTGGTGTGCCCTGCTAGCCACGAAGGGCTGTGAAGATACTCGAGTAGCTGGCTGGCTCCAGGCTGAGTTCCTTAGCTTCCAGGATGGGGATTTCCCCACCAAGGTCAGAGCCTTTCCCCAAAGCTTTACCCCACCTCCTCCCCCCAATTCCTGCTGGTTATTTGCTCAGGCAGCCCTAGGGTGTGGAAGGGGACTTGGGCCCCTGGCTTCTGAGATCCAGTCCTCATTAAACCAGCTGCCTCTCTTTAGTAGACCCCCCCCACACACACACACACACACAATACAGCAGGATTGTGTTTGGCAAAGAAGGTAGGATTTGGGAGGGGTGGGAGAGCAAGCACAGGACCCTGAGGCAGGAGACAGAGCTTCTGGTCCCAGCTCTGCCAGTTACCTGCCAAGGGGCTTTGGTCAGGTTACTTCCCACTCTAGGCCAAAGTTATACTCATCCCTACAACAAATGACTAGGTGATGGGTGAAGGGCCACCCCTCCCCTGATCCAGTCCTTCCCTGACAGCCTCCTTCCCTAACTCTTCCAGTGCTTTTCTTGCCCAATGGCATTGTTGTTCCCCCTCTCCCCAGAGTTACCTGCTCTGTGGAGCTACCTGTTGTACCTGAGGGCCAGGCCCCTCCTTTCTGTGGTTTAACAGGGGAAATCAAGACAATGAAAAGTAGGGGCAGCTTAAGAAAGGGCTGGTCACTGAGCTGAGGGGCCCCTGCCCAGACCTCCTCCCTGGGCCCCTAGATCTGGAAGAGGTCTCAGAGGTCGTCTCTGCTGCACCCCTGGGTTTAGAGATGGGGAGGCGAGGTCCACAGAGGAAAGTGATTCAGCCGAGGTCCCACATTAGATTGTTCTACCCTCTCCCTCACTTGCCCATCACTAGAAGGCTTCCCGAGGCTGGTTCATTCATGGGCCCCCTTCCAGTGTTCTGCACCCTTAGTGCCCCCTTCCTCATTCCCCATTCCTCAGCCATTTTACCAGCAACTGAACAGCAGGGAAGCCATTTCCCACTCTCCGGCTCCTGGCTTCTTCCCACTAACTGAACTATGAGTGAGGGTGGGATGGGAAAGGCAGAGGGGACAAAGGCCTCTTCCTCAGAGAGGGACACCCCCAGTGTGGAAGGTCTGGTTCTGAAAGGTCACACCCCTGCCCTTGGTTCCTTCACCGCGGGCACTCTCTGGAGGGCTGGTGTCTCATAAGGCTTCTGATATCTCCCCGCCTCCCCATCCCTGGTTCCTGGCCTAGATTTGTGACACAGACTATGTGCAGTACCCAAACTACTGTGCCTTCAAAAGCCAACAGTGTCTGATGAGAAACCGGGATCAGAAGGTGAGCTCGTCACCACGCACCCCCCCCCTCCCATCAGCCCCTCTAAATCGGTCACCTTGGTGGGGTGTCTTTTCTGGGCCACCCCCTTCCCCCTGCTCCACACAGCTGGGATGTGGAGAGCAGTTTCCTACTTGCCTCTCAGGGCAGAGGCCTCCACCAGAGCCCTTGCTCTCCTCCACGCCCCCAGCCTTGGAGTAAGCAAGGCGCCCCAGCCAGAGGTGTCTGCAGGAATGCTGCAGAGAGGTGAAGGCCCTGAGGGCACCACAGGAAGAACCTCCCCTGGGTTGGGAACTAGATGTTGAGGTTGCAGTCTTGCCTTCTGCTCTTACTCACCAAGAAGTCTGGGATAAGTCACTTCCTCCCCCAGGCTCAGCCTCCTGATTTCTGAAAGGGGGAGGGGCCACTTGGTGTCTCTTGCAGCGGGAAAAACCCACATCTGAGTTTCTTCCTTCCCTCTACTGCCCTGTGCCCATGCCCGCCTGCCTCTGGTTCTTGTGGGACTTCTGACACCTCCCCACCTCCACACTGCTGGCTCCTTGCTCTGTAACTCACATTGTGTGTGTACCCGATCCCCGTGTAGATATCCCGTATGAGATGTCTGAAGAACGAGAGTTACAATATCTTGACCCCAGCCAGAAGCGAGGACCTTGTGCTTCGATGGAGCCAGGAGTTTAGCACCTTGACTCTAGGCCAAGCCGGATGAGCTGGGATTCTCCCTGTCTCCACCTCAACCCAGACTGTCCACATTCTCCATTGCTTTCTTACTCCATTGGTCATCAGTTTGCGTCCAGGCTGCCCCTTTTGTGTCTCTTACCTGGTCCCTACCCACGTTTTCCTTGGGTCGGGGCAGGAGTCCCTGAAAGTGATGGAACTCCACCCGCCTTAAAGGATGTCTTTGCATAAAGTGTTTATTTTCAACCTATGTGGCCCATTTTGGTTATGATCCTATCAGCACTGCCACAGTGCCCCATGGGGATCAACTCGCCCCCGCCCCCTTGCCCAGGGGCTTATGGATCCATCTATAGGAGAGATAATATCATGGGAATGATGCTCAGGGAAGCAGCCATCTGCTGGGAGAAGAGGCCCTGGAAATCAGGGAGTTGGATTAAAGAAGACCATGGCTGGGGCTCAGGGATCCTGTGGGCCAGGAGGGCATGTGTCTTCATCTCTCTCCATCTCTGAATGATGTTCCTATTGCCCCCTCTCCCTTCCTCTCTGAAATATAAAATATTTTTTTAAGGGTGGAAACATCTGGGGCCTGGAGCTCATGAAATCTTTGATTTGACATCTAGTAATGTGCCAGATGGTCTTCAATGTTGAAGTGGTTGTGTCTAGACAACATACTTTGAGATGTGACTTCAGCATTGGCCTTTAATAACTTGGGATATCCTAGAGTATGTTCTGGGGACACACATGTTTGGGAAACTGTACAGTCTCTTCTATAGGTTTACAGTGATTAAAGCATTAAAAAACAAACAAACAAACAAACAAAAAACTATGCCCCTGGCCAGTGTTGCTCAGTGGTTGAAGCGTTGGCCAGAGTACTGAAGGGCCTTGGGCTTGATTCCCAGTCAGGCCATGTAGCTGGGTTGCAGACTCAATCTCCAGCCCCAGTCAGGCACGTGTGGGAGGCAACCCATCAATATGTCTCTCATATCGATGTTTCTCTCTCACACACACAAATACACACAAATGGAATAGTATAATGCACCTCTATGCTTCATCCAGCTTCAATGAACACACTAGAGGCTCGGTGCATGAAATTCATGCGGGGTGGGGGGTGGGGGTGTCCCTCAGCCCAGCCTGCACCTTCTCCAATCTGGGACTCCTCGGGAGATGTCTGACTGCCGGTTTAGGCCTGATCCCGGGATCAGGCCTAAACTAGCAGTCGGCCATCCCTCTCACAATCCGGGACTGCTGGCTCCCAACCGCTTGCCTGCCTGCCTGCTTGGTTGTCCCTAACCACTTCCCTGCCAGCCTGATCAACGCCTAACTGCTCCCCTGCCAGCCCGATCGCCCCCAACTGCCCTCTCCTGTTGGCCTGCTTGCCCACAACTGCCCTCCCCTGCCGGCCATCTTGTAGCTGTGGGCGCCGCCATCTTTGAGGGTGTGGCAGTCAATTAGCATATTCCCTCTTTATTGGCTGTGGGTGCCGCCATCTTTGCAACAGTGTGAGGGTCAATTAGCATATTCCCTCTTTAGTAGATAGGATTATTAGATAGGATGGTCAATCTTTCAGTGGCATGTTCAAGGCTCTGAGAAGCCCTGTAATAGAGAAACCTGTTTAAGCCAGCATTTTCCAACCTCACTTGACCACAATATCCTTTTTCACTCACCACTCAAAAACTTGAACTTATTTTTGTGTATTGAGCATGGACAACATGTCTAGCCCTGCTGATAGAGAAGACAAGGGTCTTGGCCAGGGTACAGAAAAGAAGGGCTGTCGTCTAAGCTCTCCCCAGCCCTCCGGCCCCCCAACCCCCAGCCTAGGAAAGAGAAGGAAGCCAGGAGGAACAGCCCAGCCTGGTATCAGCTGTGGTGGAGAGGCTGTGGGCCCACCAGCAGCCCTGGCACGTAGAGGGGCCCGAGGCAGGGGGAGGGATAAAGCCACAGGTGGCCAGAGCAAAACCACCTGCGGGGATCCAAAAGAGAGACACCCAGAGGGAACTGGAGAGAAAATCGAGAGGCTGGTGATTAGTCATCGAATCAGGGGTGGGTGTGCCCGTTAGGCTTCCCGGAAACTGTGGGGAGTCTGTGAGCGATGGGCGGGGAAGTCATTAGTTGGCCCAGAGTTGGGGCTAGACTAAGTGCCATTATCTGCTGGGGTTTCTTCTCTGGCCAGTCTGTGAAGACCGCTGTAGGCACTGCTTCCTCCTCTCTCTCCCCGCGAGTGGAGTGCGAGTGCAGGGTTGGGTGAGTGCACAGAGCTGGAATCTGTTGAGATCTGCCCAGGTGGGTGTGTCCCCACCCGCCCCAGGAGCAGGTCCTTCCAGCCCAGCCCAGCGCAGAGCAGACAGCGGAAGCCAGCTTGGGGCAGCGGCAGAGCTCGACGGAGCACAGGTACGGGGGTGTCACAGGTGGGCTTGAACCTCATGGGGGCATTAGGGGCGGCACCCCACTTTTAGAAATGAGGGATGCGGGTAGGGGCGGAGGTGAGGGTGGGACACGGGCCCCAGAAAACCTTTTGAATAGAGAAAAAGCTAAAGGGGCTGCCTCAGGCAGAGACCTTCTCAGACAGAACACACCCTAGGGTGCCCCTCTGAGGCTCGAAGCCCCACATGGGGGCATCTTGGAAGCTGTGTTCTCCCCTTCACCCTTAGGCCCACTGTCATGCTGAGCCCAGGCTTCCCAAGACCAATGAGGAGGGTCCTCTGGGGTTGATTTCCAACCGTTTCCCATCCTCAGCTAGTACTTAACCCCTAATACCCACTCACCTCCCAGGGCCAGGCCCTCTCCTAGGTGACAGTAAACTTATCTGATTAAACTCCATGAATGGGTTCACGGCACAAAGGTGTTCTTATGCTTATTCTTCCTAGCTAACCAAGGGCTATTAACCAAGGAGTATTTCTTCCTTTCTATCTATCTATCTATCTATCTATCTATCTATCTATCTATCTATCTATATTGATTTTAAAGAGAGGAAGGGGGAGAGAGAAAAAAACACACATTGATTTGTTGTTCCACTTACTTATGCATTTATTGGTGCATTCTTGTATGTATCCTAACTGGAGATTGAACCTGTAAGCTTGGTGTATCAGGACAATGCTCTAACCAACTGACCTACCCGGCAAAGGCCTCCAAGGGGTATTGTAATGGGGTCTTTGAAAAACACGGCCTTAACACAATGTGTTCATCTACATCAGTGGTTCTCAACCTGTGGGTCGCGACCCCTTTGGGGGTCAAACGACCCTTTCACAGGGGTCGCCTAATACCATCGGAAAACACATATATAATTACATATTGTTTTGTGATTAATCACTATGCTTTAATTATGTTCAATTTATAACAATGAAAATACATCCTGCATATCAGATATTTACATTATGATTCATAACAGTAGCAAAATTACAGTTATGAAGTAGCAATGAAAATAATTTTATGGTTGGGGGTCACCACAACATGAGGAACTGTATTAAAGGGTCGCGGCATTAGGAAGGTTGAGAACCACTGATCTATATAAAAGGATTAGACAAAATTATTTCTCATGTCCCTGTAGCGATGCTAGAATGTGGCTCACAGGTGACATGAAGGAGATGAAATTTCAGATGTTGAGCACAGGTAAGGGAAATATTTGAGGGTGGGCAAAGCCTTATGATACCTTTGTCTCACATCAATGAGGGCAGCTGCGTCCCTATTACCTGTGTTTATAGGGGCCTCCCTGAGAGAAGGGGACCTCCCACCTGATTGTATCTCCAGCTGAAATTGTAGCCCTAAGGGAGATGGAGGCAAGGATTGAGGGGGAAACAGAATCTTATCCCTGTAAGCCTCACCTCCTGGCCACTCAGAGCACTAGAGCCCAGCTCTGCCTGCCTGTGTCTGATGCTGTCAGCTCTCCCCACCCTGCTGCCCCCAGTATACACCCCAACACAGGCCCAGGGGAAGGAGACAGTAGAAAGGTGAGGGTAGAAGCCATTGGTGCTGCCGGGAGTTCAGGGTGAGGTCAACAAGGCTGGAAGGCTGCAGGAGAGTCTCTGAGCCAAGCAAGGTTAGCTGCACGCAGACACTCAGAGCACAGGGCCGCGACAGCTCCTCTGAGTGATTTCTCTTGATTGGGACTTTACTTCCTGTTTTTCCAGCTCTTGAGAGCAGCGGGGAGGGAGATGTGCAGGTGGGGAGGTGACACCCCACATTGGGGAAACTCATGATTGAGCTGTCGGCCAACTTTACTTTCTGCCTTTTCCCAGAAAGAAATGGGCGAGATGAGGGTCAGAATACCTGGGACAGGAGAAGACATGACGGGATGATGCTGGGAAGGCAGCAGGAGACAGGCTCCGTGTGGGGGCAGGCATTTTGGCTGGAGCAAGCAGAGCAGGCCTGGACCCAGGAGGAGAGTGGATGGAGATGGGACAGGACAATCCCTTGGGGTCTGTGCCGGAGAGGTGCCTGTCCTTGGGGAGGACGTGGTCCCTGAGTGAGGATGAGGCCATCTACTCACCCTGGCAACCTCGAACTATCTCCACACCACAGAGCCCTCAGACCCAGGACAAGCTGATGAGCAGGATTCATCCTGTCCCTAAAGCAGCTCTGGGACAGATCTTTTCAGGAAGCCTTTGGACTGGGTTAAGCTTCTCCCAGCGGCTCGGCAGTTTGGATCCGTGTGGGGAGTCTGAATATACAGATACGGAGAGGCCTTTGTAATGAAGCCGGCTGCATGCCAGGGTGCATCCTCCCAGTGCTGCCTGAGCCCAGCACCAGAGGAAGTGGGCTGAGCTGACAAAGGCAGGTTAGAGCACACACTGGGCTACGCAAGCATGTCAAACGCGCGGCCTGCTGGCCGCATGCAGCCCACAACGAATATTTTTGTGGCCCAGCCAATATAACTGTATGTAAGAAACGTTTTAATAAAAATTTTGTAACTTAATTTTTACTATATCCTATTATATATAGTTATTAATAACAAACTACAACGTTCGCTAATGATTGAGTACTATAATCATGTTGCATTCATTTCCCTTTCGTGCCTTTACACGCAGGCGCACCATTTCTCTCCACTAATACCAGCAGGGAATATTTTAGCAGCTGATGGCCACGTCATTAGTCTTGGACTGACTTGTTTGGTGTGCACAATAGGAAATATTTCGCTTTCGGAGAACAAGAAGAATAGCTTTATTTGCATTACGCAGTTATTCAGTGTCTGATAAGTTAATGTTCAAGAAAAAATATTAATTTTTATAAAAATGTTCTATTATTTTATGTTGACGATTACTCATTTATTTCAGCCCTTTGTATTCAGCATGTCCCTATCAAAATAAACCTAAGTTTCTAGGAAAATTGAAGCTTTTGTTTTTTTGTGGCCCACATAAACTTAAACCTTGTTTATTTGGCCCGTGTTAGCCTTTGAGTTTGACATGCTTGGTGTAGCGGGTGGGACACACTGACAGGCCGGGACTTCAGAATCTAAAATGAAGTTGGGGTTATTCTAGAGCAGATCTCCTGGGGCAAGGAGGATGAGGATATCTGAGATTCCTTCTTTTCAAACTTCTGAAAGATGTGAATTAATTACTAAAAAGAGGAGGTGAAGAGAGAGCAAGGCATTTGATGAATGTGTGGGAGGGAAAAGGAGAGAAGTGCCTGGAGAGGGAAGCAGAAAAGAAAGCTGGACCAAGAGGAAGTATTTCTTTCCCGTCCCTGCCTCCATCATTGTCCCAAGTCACGTATTTGTCTTCAGCTCTTGTCTGTGCTGTTGGTCAGATGCCAGAAGGGTGGGTACTGCCGGCGGGTTCTGTGTAGCAGAGAGAGGGAATGATCATGACCTAGCCTCCTGCCCACTTTTACTCTCTCCGTCTTACTTCCTGTCTGTGGCAGAAAATAGCCCTGTCCCTCCCGCTTATCTCAGCAAAGAGCAGTGCCCAGCCAGCTCAGAGGACAATGGCACAGGTCTGAGAGGCCCTAAGGACACGAGGAAGGAACCTGGGTCTGGAGGTGCACAGGGGAGGCTGAAGGACAGGGACACAGGGAGGAGGAAAGTGGCCGCACGCTCTGGTGTGGGTGTGTGGTGGGCAGGTGATGTGGATGGCACAGCGCCTGGTGCCTCTATGTGTTTGGTGCTTTCTTTGCCCTTCAGTGCCTTGGCACTGGGATCTGTTCGTGCACATCCGTGTAGGTATGTGCTCCTGAAGCTGCCTGGCTCTGTCTGTCAGCACAAGGACACGGTCCCTAAGGCAGGGGCTGTGTCTGCCCTTCCTCCTGGGGCCATCTGTCCATGCCTCCATGCGTTTGTGAGTTACAGGGCGTGCAGCCACACTGAGGGACAGGTTACTGGGAATCTTATGTTACCACATCCATGTGTGTTGAGGTGGCTGAGCCTATACAGGCTTCCGTGTCATATCCCTCCTCCCCTGTGAAATGAAACCCCGTGTCCATTCTTTTCTGGGTTGGCTGCTGTTTCTTTACTTCCAACATCTCCCCTAGAACCCAACCTCTGCCGCAAGGCAGGGCTGGGGAGAGGGCCAGGCTGCCCCTTCTCCACATCTAGAACCCTCCTTCCGTTTCCTGCTTGCCTCCTTTTTGGCAGTGTTTTCCATCTTGTCATCTGGCCTGGCACTGTGCCCATTCAGCTCCTCTGATGGGAGCCTCAGGGAAGCGGGCAGATGGGGTGGGGACCAGGGCAGGGGCCTGGCAGCTTTCAACGCTCAGCTTGGGCCATTCTGTGTAAGTCTGTCAGGAAGGGGTGACTTTTTGACAAATAGGTTCCACTATAAAGAAACCCAAGGACACCCTTCTTTTGGAGCAAGAGCATTAGCATCAGTTTTGCTAAGGGGTTCCTAACTTTACCTTTAAATAGCAGCTCACGTAATACATTTTGGTCTGTTAAACAGTGTAACTTTGTCAACGGAAAGACTTGCAATTTGGGGGAAATAATTAGTATTGATTGTCCAAGTAATGGTTAAGAATGATAAAGTGTTACAGTAATTATAGTGTGAACTGTTACTGAAATTTTAATGCAACCTGTTTCCAAACAGGCCTTTTAAGGGGCATGGTCTTTTACTAAGTGAGTTATACATGCGGACAAGATAGTCAGAAATGTGATAATAAGAAGTGGTTACTTGTAAAAACAAAAAAAAGAAAAGAAGAAGAAGTGGTTAGTTGTGGTTAGCTAACTGATTTGTTATATGTTATAACAATTACAAAATAGTTAAACAATGGGGGAGGGGACAGGGGCCTGCTAAGTAGAGAGACTGAGGTGTGAGCCAACTTGGGAAGAAAAGCAGTGAAAGATGTGGTCCCATCCCAGGAGCTTACCATCTAGTTGGGGAAATGGAACCAATAGACACAGTACAGCCTGATGAGTTCAAAGCAGCAAGGTAAGTGCTTAAGTAGGTGAGCGGAAATTGTAAGGAGGGGCTTATTTGTGTGTGTGAAAGACAGATAAGCCCACGTTACCAGTGTTTGAAGTGGGAGAAGAAGAAAGCAGATTACTTAAAAGTATATATTTCAATTAGACAAATGAGGAAGTAAAACCATATCTCTGTGGGCACAGATTTCATACCGGCATCTGTAAAAGACCGGGAGCGCTATGCAGTGTCCATCCTCGTCTCTAACCACCCACTCTTATTGGAAGTAGCACCAAACAGCTTGGACTTTGGAGCCAGGAAGTCCTGGGTTTGAATCCTGACTTCACTCCTCACGGAGCTCTTGAGCTGTTTCCTTGCCTGTAAAAATGAGGGTAAACACCGACCTCCAAGGGCTGTTGGAAGGATTAAATATTGTGCATATAAAATACCTCAGGAGGTGGTGAATAATCAGTAAATGACATCTATTTCACTCAACATTTATTGACATTGACGTAGGTGCTGGCAATACAAAGATGAGTAAGTCACAGTCCATAGCCCTTCCCTCAAGGAGCTCACAGTCGAGTGGGAGGTGCAGATAAAGAACAGCTCATTACAGTACGGGGCAGGCGGGCGGAAACAGCTACTATAGACCTGCGCACGCGAGGGGAAGTGCCAGTGAGGGACCACATCTGCCTCGTAGCGGGGGAGTCAGGAAAGGCCACACGGAGTCCTAAGAGATGACTGAGTCTGTCAGTTGGAGAATGGGAGGAGGCTCATTCCAGGTTGAGGAAACAGCATGAAAACATAAAGTATGTGCAAAATGATTAGTTTGGTGTAGCTGGAGCAAAGGAGCATGGGAGATGGGGCACGTGTCAGGAACAGAGCCTGGTTTTATTTGCTTTTCAGCTCCAGTTAGTGTTACTCTCCCTGTTGAAACTGGTATTTTGGAGAGGAAGTGTTTCTTTCTTTTTTTAAAAAAAAACCTCTTTATTTATTTACTATATACAAAGTAAAGTGGTCTCTATGTGGTCTCCAATTTTGGTCCTCCAGTATCAGGGTTCTCTCCTGCGAGTTTTTTGTTGATTACTCGGGAAGTTTTTCTGTATTTTAGTTGTAATACCAGTTTGTTCCTGGGCGCATGTCCATGCAGCATCCACTTACTCTGCCGCCTTTTTTAAATCCTAGGAAGTGTTTCTTTATTCCCTTTAACTGTCCTACACCTCTCACAAGTCTTAAACTGCGGTTAGTAGTGGTTGGAGGGAGAACAAATGAACAAAAACCCACAAGAAAACTTGTTACAGTTAGGTTTACGATTTAGTTTCATGTAAGAATTCAAGCAGTTCCTTTTGAAAGGAGTAAGTCCAGTATCTTAGGATAATTGCTCAGGGTGTCCGCACAACTTTGCTCCCTAAGATGGCATGTGGATACCCATATGCATAGCAGTATTCACAATAGCCCACAGGTAGAAAAACCCAAGAAACCATCGACAGATGAATGAATAAACAAAGTGTGATATACATATATATGAATATATTATTCAGCCATAACAAATAATGCAATTTGATACATACTACAACATGGATAGACCTTGAAAACTTTTGCTAAGTGAAATAAGCCAGGCACAAAAGGAACAGATATTATATGACTCCACCCATGCGAGCTATCTGGAATGAGCAAATTCATAGAGACAGAAAGTAGAATAGAGGTTACCAGTGGCTGGAGGGCAGGGGTGGTGGTGGAATGGGCAGTTACTGTTTAATGGGCATAAAGTTGTTGTTTGGGATGGTGAAAAGGTTCTGGTGATGTTTACACAACATTGTGAATGTACTTAATGCCACTGAATGGTACACTTCAAGATGGTTACAAGGGTAAATATTATGTATATTTCACCACAAACACACAAAATAGATGGCATCTGGGTAGCTTCTGTGGCCTCGTGGCATTAAGGAAGGTGGGATACTGAGACCATGTCCTGTCATCTGGCTACTCCACCTCTTAACTCCATCCTTTGTCGGCCAGCTGTTGCCTCTCTCCAGCAGTCTCATCAGTACCCATGGTACTTTCTCACCTCACTGCCCTGCTCTCTGGGCTTAGGCTCCCCTTGGGTCTCTTACTAACAAACAACCATCTCTCCCTATCACAGAACCCCATCTGGGGATGTCCCTAGTCCAGCAGTTGCCAACCTTTCGGACCTGACGGACCACCAGTGGTCTGCGGACCTCCCATTGGGGACCGCTGCTTAGTCAGATCCTCCAGGGGAAAGCTCAACCCACAGAGCCTTGCCCTGCCTGCAGGGCTGTGCTGGGGTGTGGTCAGCCCAGGAGAACCCTGTTATATTATTATCCCCACTTTACAGATGAAGAAACGTAGAGAGGTCAACTCAAGGGTAAACTCAGGGCACTCTGAGCGCAAGCCCTGCCCACACAGGAGCAACAGTGGGTGTGAGGAGTGAGGCTGGAATTTTGTACTGTACTTGGGAGCTTGAACTTTATTCTTTAGATAAAAGGGAACCAGGAGAACACCTGTTCCGGGGGAGGTGCTCCACAGCACTTGTCACCACCTGACATGACACCTGTTTACTTGCACTTTATTACCTGCTTCTCTCCAGTGGAATGAAAGTAAATTGGGGGCAAGGCCTTTTTGTTCACTGCTGCAAACATGTCTGTGAAAGCCTAAGCACTTTATATATATTGTCTTGTTTAATCTAAAAACCTCATGACCCCCACTCCTTGACCCCCACTCCACCCCCAGGTAAAGAAAATGAACTTCAGAGAGAGTAAGACAGTAAGTCACTTTTCTGACAACTAAAGTTAGGTGAACGGGCAAAGCCAGGATTGAAACCCAGGCAGTCTTGCCCTAGCCGGTTTGGCTCAGTGGATGGAGCATCGGTCTGCAGACTCAAGGGTCCCAGGTTCGATTCTGGTCAAGGGCACAAGCCCGGGTTGCGGGCTCGGTCCCCAGTGGGGGGAGTGCAGGAGGCAGCCAAGCAATGATTCCCTCCCATCATTGATGTTTCTATCTCTCTCTTCCTCTCCCTTCCTCTCTGAAATCAATAAAAATATATTTTAAAAAAGAAAGAAACCCAGGCGGTCTGAACTGCTATACAGCCCTGCTGCAGAAAGCTACTCTGGCAGGACAGAAGGTGGGGCAAAGGCTTAAGGCTGAGAAAAGATTCAAGAGGCGAGCCAGTTTAGCTAGATAAACATCTGTGTCCTCCACCCTGGCCTTGCATAACGATGACTTCTGGTTTGCCTTCCTATTCCAGGTCTCGGGATGATGAAGCCCTGACCAAGGCACCCACCCCCTGGCAGCCATAGCCCACATTCTCAAGGCCTACCTCTGCTGGCTTTGGGACCGTCTCCATGCAGCCTGCAGGCCCTGTTCTGGAGATGACTGCCCTGTCAGGACCTTGGTGTGCCCCGTGATGCCCCAGGCTCGCTCCTCGGCAGGCTTTGGCAAGATGTTGGCCAACTCCTCAGCAAACACTTCTACCAACAGCTCGGATCTCCCGTGCCCTGACTACCGGGCCACCCACCGCCTGCACATGGTGGTCTACAGCCTGGTGCTCCTCGCGGCGCTCCCGCTCAACGCGCTGGCCCTCTGGGTCTTCCTGCGCGCGCTGCGCGTGCACTCCGTGGTGAGCGTGTACATGTGCAACCTGGCGGCCAGCGACCTGCTCTTCACCCTGTCGCTGCCCGTGCGCCTGCCCTACTACGCGCTGCACCACTGGCCCTTCCCGGACCTCCTGTGCCAGACGGCGGGCGCCATCTTCCAGATGAACATGTACGGCAGCTGCATCTTCCTGACCCTCATCAACGTGGACCGCTACGCCGCCGTGGTGCACCCGCTGCGGCTGCGCCACCTGCGGCGGCCCCGCGTGGCGCGGCTGCTCTGCCTGGGCGTGTGGGCGCTCATCCTGGTGTTCGCCGTGCCCACGATGCTCGTGCACAAGCCCTCCTCCTGCAGCTACCGCGGCACCCAGGTGCGCCTGTGCTTCGAGAGCTTCGGCGACAAGCTGTGGAAGAGCCGGCTGCTGCCGCTCGTGCTGCTGGCCGAGGCGCTGGGCTTCCTGCTGCCGCTGGTGGCCGTGGTCTACTCGTCGGGCCGGGTCTTCTGGACCCTGGCGCGGCCCGACGCCACGCAGAGCCGGCGGCGGCGGAAGACGGTGCGCCTCCTGTTGGTCAACCTGGTCATCTTCCTGCTGTGCTTCGTGCCCTACAACACCACGCTGGCCGTCTACGGGCTGCTGCGGGGCGACCTGGTGACGGCGAGCCCCGCGGCCCGCGACCAGGTGCGCGGGGTGCTGATGGTGATGGTGCTGCTGGCGGGCGCCAACTGCGTGCTCGACCCGCTGGTGTACTACTTCAGCGCCGAGGGCTTCCGCAACACCCTGCGCGGCCTGGGCTCTCCTCTCGGGACCAGGACCTCGGCCACCAACGGGGATGGAGGGACGCTCGCCCAACTGCCCCAGGAGACCACCCCCACCGGCAGGACTGCTGCCTCCAGCCAAGGACTGATCAGGCATTCCAATCCCCGGACACCCATCCCCGAGGATTCTGTCCTCTAAAGGAACATGGGGCCCTAGCCTGGTGACACCCACCTCCATCCCCTCGCGCCTCTGGCACTGGAAAACTTGCAGGTTGCGCACAGGAGGGCGGTGGATCCGACACTTGGATTTCTGGGTGGCAACTCCAACTCATAAATGCAGAAGGAGCAAAGTGTGGGAGCAAGGGGCACGGGGAAGGGAGGGTGCTGGTGGGAATGTCCTCTTTAAGTTCGTGGTGATGATGAGCACAGAAAAGAAGACCCCGTCCCCAGTCTGTAGGAAGGGGTGGTGCTGTGAGCCTGCCAAGGCAGGGGCAGAGGAATGGGTGAAATGCCCTTGCGGGGGACTTGAAACACTGCCCAGCGCCAGTAGATGTAGCAGAAAAATGGACGTACTGGCTTTAGACTGACCACAGCATCTTAGGGCCAGAGATGCCACCCACATTTCACTCCCACCTGGGCTTCCCCTCCCCGCATTGAGGCAAATACAAGAGTTTATTGGATAAGACAGAACTGGTTTCCTTCTTGTTTCGAGACTTGCAATAATTTAGACCCGACCTCCATCATGGGGTGGTTGGGGGCAGGGCAAAACTGTGAGTTAGAAGGTTTTCTTTTCTCCAAAATCTTGATCCCTGTTCCCCTTTCTAGGTCTTTTCTATCCTATGTTCCAACCCCCTTTCAAGACCTCCTCCATTCTAGATCCTAAGTCTACTCCTGCCACACACACACACACACCCCATCCCCACAGCTTCATCTAGAATAAGGGAACAATTCTTTGTACTAAGTAGCAGTTCTCAAATTTTTTGGTCTCAGACCCTTTACACCCTTAAAAATTGAGAATTCCAAAGAGCTTTTGCATATACTTTGTTCTTTTGATACTTACCATATTAGAAATTCAATTAAGTTTTCAAAGCATACAGATCTGGCCACTGTGGTTCAGCTGGTTGAGCATCATCCATGCACCATAAAGGTCCTTGGTTCGATTCCTGGTCAGGGTACATCCCCAGGATTTTGGTCTGGATTCCCAGTAGGGGGGCGTGCAGGAAGCAGCCAATCCAAATCCATGTTTCTCTCACACATCGATGTTTCTCTCACACATCGATGTTTCTCTTGCTCCCTCTCCCTCTCTAAAATAAATAAAAAACATGTTTAAAAAAACAGAAATACATAGGCACACATTCCATGAGCTGTGAGAGCAATGATACCTTTCATGAAGCCTCTGGAAAATCCCACTGTATACTTGTGATGGAATGAAAGTGAAAAGAACAAATGACAATAGTATTATGAAAATAGCTTTGACCTCATGGACTTGTCAAAGAGTCAGTCCCCAGATCACACTTTGAGAACTATACCTATACTAAAGTATTAAAGTTCTTGTGTAACTTCTTCCCAGGGCATTATATAGAGTGCTTTTTATTGCTGTGGAAGAGAGCAATGCTCAACAAATCAATTAGTAATTGTAGCCCTTAAGGCTTGGGGTTGGGGGTGGGGGTGGGACAGTAGGAGCTGCACACCAGATGGAACATGGCCTTGGGCTTGCTGGAGCTGCAGCCCTAAGGGGGGGGGGGGGTGGTGGTAGAACTGGACACACACACACACACACACACACACACACTCAGGAGGAGGGGGTGGGGCTTCTCCCGGAGGGAACAGGAACTGTGCCACAGCCAGGAGAGAAGTTTACAGGGAAGTTAGAGTGTGATGGGAGGACAGGAATGGGCTGGCTGTTCTTAGCAAGCAGGCGGCAAGGGAAATGGAAGACTGGTTTATGGGCCACCTACTGCTTTCTTCCCTTTTTACCGAGTCGGAGTTGGGAGCTGGTAGGGGTTGCAGAGTTGGAACTAGGACACCTTGAGACCCTGACATTAGCGAGGGAGTTGTTGCGTGCCTAGCTCTTGCATGCCTTTCTATGCCTGTCTCTCAATGCTGTATGTATCTGTGTGTGTGTGTGTGTGTGTGTGTGTGTGTGCGCGCGCGCGCGCGCGCGCACGCGCTCCTGCCAGTGTCAGGGTTTTCCTGTGTGTATCTCTGGGCCTTTTGTGTGTCTCTATGTGATCCGTCCAGATGGTGATTTACAGGTGTAAAATGACCCCTGGTGGCCAAACCAGAGAACTGACCCAGATTCCTCCGTCATAGCCTCGAAGTCTGGGCCTTCCACCATCTGGCGGGAGCTTAGAGACCCGGCACAGGCCCTCACCTCCTGCTGTTCTCAAAGAGGCCTGGAGGTTAGCACCTGTTCCATCTTGCCTCATGCTTAGGGTTCAGGACCCGTGCCCTTCCAACCCTGGGATTAACAAACAGAACTGAACACAATTTTTAAAAACTACTTGATTATTTTTATATGCAGATACATGAATAAATTCCAAAGTAATTAAAACTAACATAGCAAGTATCTTCTACAGACTATATAATTTACTTATTTATTTATTATAATTTTTATAATTTATTGTCTGTCTCCTCCCCCTGCCCAGGTAGAATGTAAGCTCCCCGAGGGCAGGAATTTTTGTTTGATGGTTCTCTGATGTATTCCCCAGCATCTAGAATGGAGCTTAGAACAAAAGAACAAATAAATATTTGTGGAATGTTGAACAGTTGGGTCTTGCTGTGAAGTAGTTTTCTATCCAGTGGGACCAAAAGAACAAATCAACTATAATTACCATTCAAGACAGAAGATGCAAGAATACAGGGTAAGCTCTGGCCAGTGTGGCTCAGTGGTTAAAGTGTTGGCCCGAGTATCAAAGGGTCTCAGGTTCAATTCTAGGTCAGGGGCATGTAACTGGGTAGTGGGTTCAATTCCCAGCCCTGGTTAGGGCAAGTTCTGGAGGCAACCAATCAATGTGTTTCTCTCTCTCTCTCTCCTTCCCCCTCTTCCATTCTCTCTAAAACTCAATGGGAAAAATATCCTCGGGTGAGTTTTAAAAAGGGGGGGATGCAGAGTAAGGTTAGCAGCTCATTTAGTGGGCAACGGAAGCCCCTGAAGGTTCTGCTAACCTTGACATAGTGTGGGATAAACCGTAGGAAATCAGGTGGAGAGAGTCTAAGGAGAAAGGAAGACTGGTCAGGGAGCTGTTAAAATCGTCCAGAAAAAGTGTGACCGTGGCCTGTGGCGGTGGATGAAGTAGGCTGTCTCCAATGCGAAATCTCTGGTGTTTCAGCTCTGGTGGACTGTTTCCCCACATTCAGTACACCCCAAGGGTTTCCATCACAAGAACAGAGAGGCAAGAATAGATTAAGGAGATGTGGCAGGCAGAGGAGAAATGACCAAAGCTGACAAGTAACAGGCTGGGGCAGTTTAAGAAAACCCATAGCCATTACCATTTTCACAGGATTCCCCAATTACTGAGTGGACTGTATGATGGAGACAACATGTGGGGGCTCCACAGTCCATGCCCTGGAGTTACCTCAGTGGAAGTTTAGGAAAATCCAAAGGCGGGAAACGAGGAAACCTTAAATGGAGGGAGAAGAGCTTTAACAAGTTTTTAAAATGCTCTCTGAATGCCTGGATCTCAATTAAGTGCTTAAAATGCATTATCTAATTTATTACAACAACTCACTGAGTTAGAGATGATTATTACCCCATTTTACAGATGAGACACCCTGGAGAAGTTAAGGTCCTAAGGTCACACAACCAGGAAGTGGTACAGTATCTCTTTGGCTCCCCAACATCCTACTGTATCTCCCCTTCCTGGCACTTCTCTCATCCCTGCCTTTATGACATTCACCCTTCCCTACTTTCCTTTCCCCCCTTTCCTCCCCCATGTAAATCACCTCTCCTTCACCTCTCTTGACTGAGGTCTCACCTTGGATCTACTGTACCATCTCAGCCTCCTTTCCCAGCGCTTCCTCCTTGCTCTAGCCCACTCAGCGACAGCACACCTGTCCCTCCCTCTACACTGGCCTCCGGCCCCTGTGCAGAACACAGTGTGGCGGGGGCACGCTCAAGCAGGATGGCTCAGCCTCTGTGCAGTTGGCCGCAGATCCCTTCCCCAGTGAGGAGGTGCCCAACATCTCCAAGGCAGCATTCTTGATGATCTACCAACTAAACGAAAGAGACCTCCTCTGGGTTCTCCACAAAGTCTGTCTCCAAAGGCTGGTCCACTGCATGGCGAGATGAGTTAGGGGAGGAGTGATCGTTGGTCTTGAAATGAAAAATTCAGGAGAACCAGGGGAGAAGTAAGGGAACCCGGAGGGGCATAGGTGCCTTTCTATTGGCCCTGAACCATCTTGAGGGCAAGCCTCACGGGTGGCTACGTGGGGTCCTGTGGGAGAAAGGAGGAGGTGAGGTGATTTTTATGGGATGGTGGTGCAGAATGGGGAGACCCTGGAGACAAGAGGCTGGGTAACTCTCCGCCCGCTGCCCCTTACAGGGGAGCAGAGAGCGCACGGAGAAGTGAAGTTCCGCACAGGGCTCTTGGAGAGTCCCAAAGGTTCTCTGAACTTGGGAATCTGAAAAACCTAGGTACTCGTGTCAGCTCTGATACTTCCTGGCGATGTGACTTTAGCAGTGACTTAGCCTCTGAACCTGTTTTCTCCTCTGCGAAATGGGGATCGGAATACCTACTCACTGGGTTGCTGTGAGGGTCAATGAGCTCTCCTTTGAAAGGCACCTGAGAGGCACCCCGAAAGGGAGCTCTTTCCCACAAGAACATGCCATTGTGATGCCCAAGGGAAGGGTTTCTGGAGGACAGTGAGGGCCCCAGGTGGATCCTCACCCAGCAGTGCGGACTGGGGCCAGGCTGGTGGTTTCCATGGTGCGAGGTCAAGCAGACAGTTTTCAGGGGCAGGGCCTGGCCGGCTGCCCTCTGGGGGCACCCTCTCCCCGCTGGGCTTCAGCACCTACAGCCGGGGCGTGCGTGGAAGTACCTGAGTGGGAAAGAAAGGGGCCTGGGATGGAGAACCGGGCGAAGGAGAAAGGGCGAGGCTGGAGGGGAAGTCAGGGCCCAGGCAGGCACAGGGTGGGGCCCGGAGAGGGGCCCAGGGCAGGAGGGCGGGCGGGAGCCCGGGAGGCTGAGCGCCCGCGAGGGCGGAGGGAGGGAGGGACCGGAGCGAGGCTGGCGGCGCTGACACAGCCTCGATGTGTGCAACGGGCTGGGGTTTGGCCCACAGGTCAGGCGTCTGGCAGTATTATGGGATGGCGAGGCCTTAGGAGACAGGAGAGTATTATGGGCTGGAGCAGCCTTAGGAGACTGGGGAATATTATGGCTGGTGAGGCCCGGCTCCAACTGGAG